ATAAAGGAGAACTGAAACCGCTGTGTTCTAGCTTGGAAAACTTCCCTCATGTTGCTTCAATTTCTGCAGGCCCTGGACCAGGAAGTTTAGGGGAATGCACAGTAACGTCAGGTCACCTTAGACAGAATAAAAGGCCTTTCATTTATGTACCTAGGAGCCCTGGCGTGTGGTGATTTCTGAGACCCAGGGCAAAAAATGTTCTTCTGGCAGGCAGCTTTCCTTGTAGAAAGGTCAGTCCGCAATCTGCAATTCCACTGCGTGGAATTCAGGGACTCTCAGAGTTCCGAACGCAGCTGTCTTCCAGGTACATTGAAGATGCCTGTCCCACTCACTTGCTATGAACGAGGTGTTCTTCTGTGGGCGATAAAACTCTACCCGGTCATTTCAGAACTGATTCCACTCGTATTTCTATAGATCTTGTGTAAGACAAAATAATGCCTACGTTAACCTTATTGGATAGTTTGCAAAATACAGGGACATCTCATATTCTGGTCTTTTCCTGAATGTTATTCTTGTTGCTATAAGCTTATACTTCCCAGGTGGAGTCTCTCTGTGTGTGTTTAAGAGAGATGTTTTTTTGGTCTGGCAGGTGGTGTGGTGGTTAAGGGCACTGGACTCCCACATGGCTGACCGCAGTTAAAGTCCCGGACCTGGTGGCTTGACTTCTCATTTTCCCTCTCTGTTTCTCTCTCTAGTCAAATTAAAATAATTAAATAAAGTTAAATAAACTAATTCTTTAGGGGAAAAAAAGAGATTTTTGTGGGACCAGCTGATGGTATAATGGTACGTCACTGGACTCCCACACAGCTGACCGTGGGTCGAGTCCTGGATTCAGTGATTCCAAACTCACACTGGGTACATGTGCATGTGTGCCCAAAATCTTGAGGGGAGAATGGAGGAGAAGAGATCACAAAGTCCCTTTTACAGCAAAAATCTTTTCTTTTTTAAAGAAATTTTTGCTATAGGGTGCATGTGCTCCCTGGAGAGACAGAGAAAGAAAAATGCGAAATCATTGCCTGGGGACTGACCACACCACAATCCCTTCTCTTCCATTCTTGTCTTGGAATTTTTGGGCATGCATGAACATGTGCCCAGCGTTGAGTTTCAAGCCCGCAAGTCTGGGGCTTAAACCATGGCGGATATGTGGGAGTCCAGCACCTTAACCACTATGCCACCTGCTGGTCCCGAATCTGTATGTATTTTATTCTACTCCTTAAAAAACATCTTTAGGAGACTAGCAGTTGGCATAATGGCTATGTTGCTAGACTCCCATGTAGTTGACCGCAGTTTGAGTCCCGGACCTGGTGGCTTAAACGCATGCTGGGCGCATGTGCGTGCGTGCCCAAGATCCTGAGGGGAGAATGGAGGAGAAAGGATTGCGGCATGACCATCCCCCCTGGGGAGGTGATTTCTCTCTTTCTGTCTGTCTCTGTCTTTCTGGTGAGCGCACGTGTCCTATAGAAAAAAAAAACATGTTAAAAACAAACTACCTTTTAAAAGGTAAGAAAGCTGGATTTTTATTTACTTCTTTTTTTGAAGTTTTTGCTATAGGATGTGTGTGCTTGCTAGACACAAAGAGAAGAGAGGAAAAGTAGGAAATCGCGCAGCAGGGAGACAACCACACCGCAACCCCTGTTCCTGCATTCTCTCAGGATTGTGGACACACATGCTTGGTGTGTTTTCTCAAGCTGCTAGGTCTGGGACTCAAACTGCATAGTTCCAGTTTTCCTTTACGAGCTTATCGAGAAGGTAGAATCGTATTCAACATAAATTTAGAACATTCCCTGCACCAAAGTTAACCTGCCTTTCATTTTTTCATGGTGAAATGCGATGGTCATCTTTAACTTAGTCAGAAGGTAACTGTGTGTCCTAGTTTTAACAAGACCACTGCAGAGCTGGAGTCAGTTCAGTGATGTTACAGACAAAAACAACTCATCAACAATTCTCTGACACACAGTGGCACTTCCGTTTCATTTTAAAACTAGATCAATATTGGGTTAGCAATATTGATGGTGCCAATATTGGTGGCATGGTAGTTAAGGTGCTAGACTCCCACATGGTCGAGCACTGTTTGAGTCCCGGACCTGGTGGCTTGAAAATCACGCCAGTGGGTGTGTGGGTGTGTGTGTGTGTGTATGTGTGCCCAAAATCATAAAAGGAGAATGGAGGAGAAGGGACTGGCATGGCCATCCCCCTCGGGGGGGGGTGATTTCTCACTTTCTCTCTCTCTCCAGCAAGCACATGTATCCTGTAACAACAACTTAAAAAAACTGTTAAAACAAAACTAAAAAAAAAAAAACTAACTAGATAAGTAGTAATTCTCTTTGGGAAATATACCCATACACACACGCCATACATCCTGAGAAATAAGATGTTGTCTTTGCCGCCTGTCATTAGCTCTACCACTGCTATTAGCGTTGTTTGTATTGTCAAATGTCACATCCCTTGAATGCCAGCCAAGATCAACAAATCTCTGAATTGGATTCAAGCAATTAGTTACCAATGTGGCCATCACAGAAAAGGCACAGATCCCCATCAAACACACACATGCCTGTCACACAAATGCTCTCACAAAACCAGAAAAATACCAGAGACTATTTATGTTCTCAGTATAAAATGTATCAGAAAAAATGTTAAAGGAAACTAACACAGGGTGCATATGCTTGCCAGAGAGACAGTGAGGAAGTGAGAAATCACCTCCCAGGGCGGATGGCCATGCCACAATCCCTTCTCCTCCATTCTCCTCCTGGGATTTCGGGCACGTGCACACATGCACCCGGTGCCTGTGAGGTTCCAGCCGCTAAGTCCAGGTCTTGAACTGTGGTTGGCCATGTGGGAATCCAGCGCCTTAACCACGACATCATCTACTGGACCCTCAAAACTATTTTAAATTAGGGGCCAGCAGGTGGCATAGAGATTAGGGTGGCTAGATCCCACAGGGCCAACTGCATGGATTGAGTCCTGGACCTGGTGGCTTAAAAGCATGTCCAGCACAGGGCACGCCCGCCCTGAATCTGAAAGGAGAATGGAAGAGCAGGGATGGTGGCCTGGCCTCCTTGGGAAGGGGAGGAGGAGAAGTGCTTTCTCACTTTCTCTCTTTCTGTCCTTCTCTCTCTGGTGAGGGCGTGCACTATGTAGCAATTAGAAAAAACAGCTGCTTATTAAATATTGGTTGACAGTAAAAGTTGTTTAGTTCCCAGTCTGAAACACATTCATCATAAAATCACACTCCTAATAACTTCCCAGTTTAGTATCTCCTCCTACGTAAGCACTGGTTTCACAGATCGCCAGGCCATTAGATTTAACTAGAGAAATGCAAGACTATACTTTGATTCCTTTGTGTTAGCTATGTTGGTAACCTTCTTAAAAACAATATATTTTTCAGTAACAGATGGTCAGTATTTCAAATGAAAAGCATTAGAATACTGATACGATCGTGACTTGACTTTTATAGTGTCTTCCCTACAATTTTAATTTCTTTTTTTAGAGATTTTTGCCTTTAGGGTGTATGTGCTTGCTGGACAGAGAGAGGGACAGAGACAGTGAGAAGGAAAGTGAGAAATCAGCCCCCAGGGGATGGCCATGTCACAATCTCTTCGCTCTGTTCTACTCCCAGGATCGTGGGAACGCATGCACACATGTCCGTGTGATTTTCAAGCCACCGGGTCTAGGATTCAAACCATGGTTGACTGTGTGGGAATCTAGTGACATAACCATTATGCCATCTATTGACCCCCCAAATTTTTTTTTAAGAATGACTTTATTTAACTTTATTTATTTATTTATTTTAATTTGACCAGAGAGGGACAGAGTGAGAGGGAGACAGAGGGAAAATGAGAAAGCAAGTCACCATGTCTCGGACTCAATTGTGGTTGGTCATGTGGGAGTCCAGTGCCCTGAACCAACATGCCACCTGCTAACCTCTAGCCCCTAAAATTTTAATCATTTAAAATACTTATAAATATTAAGTAAGCAGAGGTTTGTAATGACAGGTAATGAAATATAACAGTTAAGAAAACCAACTTGGGCTGCAGAGATGTACAATGATTCAATGTGAATAAGAAATCATAAAAAAAGAAAGAGACTTGAGGGCAGAAGAGTTTTTTTTAAATGATCAACTGTTAAAGTAATCCAAGTGTTGGGATTAGCAGGTGGCATGGTGATTAAAGCACTAGGCTCCCACTTGGTCAACTACGGTTCAATTCCCGGATCTGGTGGCTTGCTTTCTCACTTTCTCCCTCTCTCTCTGTCCCTCTCTAAATAATAATAAATAAATATTTAAAAAATAATTCTTTTTTTTTTTGAGAGGTTTTCGTTATAGGGCGCGTGCGCTCACCAGACAGAGAGAGACATAGAGACAGAAAGCGAGAAATCACCCCAGGGGGGATGGTCACGCCACAATCTCTTCTCCTCCATTCTCCTCTCGGGATCTCGGGCACACACGCACATGCGCCCGGCATGAGTTTTAAGTTACCGGATCCGGGACGTGAACCGCGGTCGACTATGTGGGAGTCCAGCAACATAGCCATTATGCTAACTGCTGGTTCCCTAAAAAATAATTCTTACCAAATAAAGTAATCCAAGTGTTTACAATATTCAAATAGCTGTATCACACAAAAAGTCACACATTGTTAAGACCCACTTACATAAGGTACTGAGAACAGTCAACTTCTTGCAGACAGAAAGCAGAGCGGTGGCAGTTAGTGGCTGCGGGCGTAGGAGCGGGGAGTTAGTGTTTACTGGGTGCAGAGTTTCAGCATGGGAAGACAAACATCATTCCAGAGACGGATGGTGGGGAAGGCTGCATGCTGTGGGAATGTTCTTAACAGCACTGAGCAGTGTGTCTGAAAGTGACTTAAATGGTCAGTTTCCTATTACGCATATTTGAGCACAGTTAGGAAAACAAGAACTTCAGCAACATCTGTCTAATATGTCAGCAATATAAAAGATCACTTACGGTGGGGACTGTCATCTTACAATTACCCCGTTTTCCAACATACCCACGATCAGGGTGATGCCCATGCTTAGGGAGCTGACCCAGGCGGTGAGGCCGCGGCTCTGGTGGAACTCCTCCAGCCACTCCACGTTGAGGACTCCCAGGGCCATCTGGGAGCCCATGATGAGGACGTGCACAAAGAAGGAGGAGAGGACCATCATCCACGCCCAGCCGCCATCGATGTCTGGGTGGGGCTTAAGCGTCTTCTTGTCTTTGGGGTCATCCTCAAAATCATACCCAATGTCTTCATGACTTGTATACATCTTCCAAGATTTTCTGAAACACGTAACACAAGTAACATCACTGAACATTAAAACAAAAATGTCATCTTCTTTGGAGAGGTTTTCACTATAGGGCACATGCGCTCGCCAGATAGACAGAGAGAGACAGACAGAAAGCGAGAAATCACCCCCCAGGGAGGATAGCCAGCCACGCCGCCATCCAAAGAAGGAGGAGAGGACCATCATCCACGCCCAGCCGCCATCGATGTCTGGGTGGGGCTTAAGCGTCTTCTTGTCTTTGGGGTCATCCTCAAAATCATACCCAATGTCTTCATGACTTGTATACATCTTCCAAGATTTTCTGAAACACGTAACACAAGTAACATCACTGAACATTAAAACAAAAATGTCATCTTCTTTGGAGAGGTTTTCACTATAGGGCACATGCGCTCGCCAGATAGACAGAGAGAGACAGACAGAAAGCGAGAAATCACCCCCCAGGGAGGATAGCCACGCCGCAATCCCTTCTCCTCCATTCTCCTCTCGGGATCTTGGGCACGCACGCACACGCGCCCGGCATGAGTTTTAAGTCTCCGGGTCTGGGATGCAAACCGCGGTCGACAATGTGGGAGTCCAGCGACATAGCCATTACGCTAACTGCTGGTCCCCTATATCATCTTCTTTGAAAAGTTGGACCTCCCATCAAGACCCACGTGGCCCCATCATCACAAGGGACCTTTGGATTAATCTTCATCATTAGAGGATTTGGGAACACACCTTACATTTTCATAGCTCAAGTGTCTTTATGAAACCTGTTTCGTCTTTATAGCTATCCCATCAATGAGTATTATAATCTTGGATATGGGGAGTGAAGTGACTCTCCCAAGGCCTCATGGCCAGTGTGCACTGTGGCCAGATGGAAATGAAGCGTGAACTCAGTTCTTGACTCCAGAGCCCGTGCCCTGTCCCCTTACAGAGATGGATACTGACACGGGACAAAAAAAAGATGTCAGGGAAGGAAGACCTCAGTTTGGGCAGCTTTTTGGAGTAGCTTGACCTTGGTGGGGCCCTTGGTAGAGGATCTAGTTCTCAGTTTTTGTGGGTCCAGGTGCAGTACAGCCAGGGTAGATTAGACTCAGAGGGATGGATTCATGCTAGCCCAACTCAGGAGAGACTGATATAGTGGAAGGCCAATGTATTACTTTACAATGGGAGATCCAGCTTTTAGTAATGGTGACTGCTACATCTGATTTTATAAGACATACTTAAAATTTTTAAAATTATTTATTTTATTTTATTATTATTATTTGCTATAGGGCATGTGCACTCACCTGAGATAGAGAGAGAGGAAAAGTGGGAAAGCAGGTCTAGGATTCAAACTGTGGTTGACCACGTGGTAGTCCCGTGCCTTAACCACCAGGCCACCTGCCGGCCTCCATACAAGACATACTTTTATATCTTCTGCCCACCTCTGCTCCTGGAATACTAGCAAATTGCTTGGAAAATGGGAAACGAGACAAAAGGGGTTTGGATGCTACGGTGACGTATGGGTTACCAGATGAGGCGACCAGGCAGGCGCTCGGACATGCAGGGCCTTGAGTGTCAAATGTGGTGGTTGGAGTTTATCTTATACGTCCTGAGCAGCCACTGACTGAAGCTGCACGAGGAAGAGACATCTCGTGACCGGTGCTTTGCAAAGACCCACCTCTCCAAATGTTTGGATGAGAGGAGGGAGAAAGGCTGGAGCTGGAGGAGGGAACAGCAAGCAGGTCAAGCCAGGGTCTTCGTTTTGGTTTTCTGTCTAGGATGAGAATTAAGAATGTGTGTAAGGCCCGAGGAAAGGCAGCAAGGGCTGGTGGGAGAGGTGGAGAGAGAAGAGGAAGAAGTAGGTGGTGAGACGAGGCTGGTCTTGATCAGAAGAGAGACCCATCTTCTGAGACTGCAGGATGGAGCTACGATGGCAAACAGTGGGATGGGGAGTTACATCTGATGGTTTAATTTCTTTGTGAAGTATCAAGTTAGGCCATTGGCTGAGGATGAGGAGGGCCAATGAGTCCCCTGTGCAGGGGACTCTGTGCAGGATAACAGAGAGGACCATGCCCACAGGGGGAGATGATCTGGAGGCAGTTCTAAAGACTGAGCTGAGCCCCGCAGGGGGCCCCAAAGACAAAAAAACAGGGTACACTGCCCCAAAACCCACAGTAAGGTCCAGCATCGTCCATGGAGAACTTGAAAACAACAACAAATAACTAAAAGTTGGCCTGAATTTTTTTTTATTATTGTAAGATATCAGCAGTTCCACACAATGGCACTGATAAAATATTTCTCCCTGAAAGTGTTTGCCGATCTAAGTTTCAAACATTTCAGTTGCGTTTCAATGATAGCTATGCATGCTTCAAATTAGCCAGTTTTACTCAGCCTTTCGTAGACAGCATAATGTACGTGGAAGTTATCTCAGAGAACTCCTGCTTTTGCAGTTGAACCTGGCACACGAGGCGTTCCAGCTACACACACAGTTTCTAGGATAAGCCTAGGCCAGCCCGGTAGTGTAGTGTTTAAGTGCTGGGCGTTGGACATTGGACCCCACATGACTGACTGTGGTTTGAATCCCAGCCCTGGCAGCTTGAAAAATACAGTAGGCACGTGAGTATGCATGCTCCAAATCCTCATGGGATGAAGAAATGGAGGAGCAAGGATCATTGGGGTTGCTTTCTCTCTCTTGTACCTCCTGGCAATTAAAAGAGAGAGAAGTGCTCAGTTGAGAAGTGTCGGTGCTCACCTCGCACCATCCGTGCCTGAAACCTCTGTGGATTACCCATCACTGCCTTTGCCCAGGACACCTGGGATGAGCTGAGCCCGCATAATCACCGTTGAAGAGCCGGAACTTTGCCGTGCTTCCCTCTGTCACCCTATGTGTCCACGCAGAGGTTTATTTTTGTATAAAATGTTAAATAATGAAACAGAGGACAAGACTGAGAGGTGAGGGCCAGCCCCATAGAGCAGTAGTTAAGGGCTGCATGAAGAAAGCCAGAGCCGCATGGCTGACCAGGCTTTCAGTCCTGGTCCCAGAGTCTTGAGAAATGTAAGCGCACATGCCCAGGATCCTGATGGGTTGGAGAATTGGAGGAAAAAGGACTGCGGTGTAACCAGGTCCTGAAGGAATGCC